CCCCGGGGGGGGGGGAACCTGCCCCGGGGGGGGGGAAACCTGCCCCGGGGGGAAGCACCGCCCGTGGGGAGCCGCCGGCGCGGTCCGCAGGGTCCGGAGATTCACCCACCGAGTCGACACTGCCGGGAGCGAAACGTACTTGTTCGCTCGGGACCGGGGTCGGCGCCGGGGCCCGGGAGCAGAAATGCCTTCCTCCGCCGGGGGCGGTGGTTTAAGCTTTCCCCTGTAAAGACCCGACTCTTGTCATTCAGCTTGTACACGTTACTTCTCATTAAGGAAATAAGATCACCGAGGGCTAAATTAACGTCTCCGAGGCTACAGTTTGCCGGTCAGAGACCCGAGTGACTGCTCACTCCTTTAGAAGAACGCTGTTTCTCCTCTGCTGCGGTGAACACCCCCCCTGCCCTGTGTCTCCACTCTCAATTCGTGTCTGTTAAGGAAAAAGAAAAACTCGTTTTCCCAGATGTGTCTTCGCATGGACAGAGCCATAGTTGTGACTAATTATTCAGACTTCAATGAAAACAAGAAACAAAACACTAAAAAAAAAACCCCAAATGCACCCCGTGCATGTGAGCTGGTTAAGACAGACATGGTTAGCTGTCAGTTGCCATATAGCAGTACTACGTAGTACTGTTAACATTCATTGTGTGCATCTTTTTATGGAGTCCTGTGCTGCCTCATTAGCTATTAACCATTGTGTAATACAGCTGTAAGAAGAAATTCAAGGTCTTCTGAGGGACACTGAAACAAGAAACGTCTTTAAACCGTGAGAAAGTGCAGTGTGTACAGAAAGACTCAGTACTATGAATGTAGGTAGATATAATCATTTAAATGAAAGTGGGTTTGATGGTTTTATTTGGGAGTGAGCCTGAAATAGAAAAGGAGCAGTTGGAGGCAGAGATGTTGAGGCTACTATGTCAGAAAAACTGGGTGTAAAAATGAGTTATTTCTGATTTTATTATCAACTCTGTGCTACCTCCTGCTTAATCCCAACTTTGTCACAGCCTTCCCATCTGTGAAGTGAGAGTCTTAAGTTAAAACTATTATATAAAAGGCTCTGTTTTTCATAATGGTCTTTAGTAAAAGCTGTGTTGTGCAGTCATGAGAAGTGATTTGAAAATGGGCAATAGCTTGAGAAACTCTGAGCCAAAACTTTACTCAAAGAGCAAGATTTAACCTTCCTTTACATCTCACATATGAATGGCTACTGGAAGATAGCAGTTCATGGAGTCGTGAGTGTGTGTTTGCATAGTTCACCCCATCACAGATTGCATTAATGCAGTTAGTTTTTTACTACTATTTGAGATGCTTAAATATACCACTTCTCTGTTTGTATCTCAGTGCTTTCTGCTCCTTTGCAGTTAGTTTCAAACATATCTGATTTAATTACAAAATATTTAGTTTACTTATAAAATATTTAGTTTCTGTCTGAGGTAGGCTAAAACTCAGTACAGGTGGTAAAAGCTGCCTGAAAAATCTGCAGACACTTGGCTAGTCTTGAGCTTAGGACTGCCTTGGCCAGGCTGAGTAAAGCATCTTCCATTGGTAAAGCAAAGCACAGTTCTTTACTCATTTGAACAGGTGCTTCCAGAGTGAGAAACCTTTTTTGCTTTTCCCATAAATGCTTCTCAAACATTCTTTATTAGGCTTTTAAGATGTTAGTGGGGGATCATCAACTTGCACTTACATATATTCATAGATATTATATAATCTCTTTCCCAAAGGCAGATGTTAAACAATGAACATGTGGGAAGATCGTATTATTTGCTTTGTACGTCAGCTGGTGATATGTTGAAATGAGGCACTTAAACCACACAAGGAAATTCTGTTATTGCAGTGAGGGACAATGAATAATGCATCACCTGGTAAGAATGCTACAGATTGTTGTTTCCTGTCACGATAAATGTAGTTAAGATTTGGCTGAGTTCTTACATTCACTCTTACAAAAAGTGTCCATGTCACCTTACTGACCTGTAAAGTAGCACATACAGTCAGCGGCTTAAATGAGACTGCAGGAGTAGCAGTGGGAAAGAAGAAAGGAAGGAGAATGCAGAGTGTGTCCCTACTCTCTCTTGTCTCCTCTCTTTGTTACACACCAGCCTGACTGTTGTTAGGTAGGTGTATACCTACCCATTTTTACTACTAGGTTTTGCACCACCTGGAGAGGAGTTGGAATAAAGAATGAGCCAGTGTCTGGAACACATTTCTCAAAGAACTTGCAAGTGCATCTGTGCGCTGGCGTACAAGTAAACCAAGGTGATAATTGCTGCAAGCTGTAACACTCTGAGTGTTGGCTAAATGGTGGCTCTGGTAAGGACTGTAGAGATGAAGCTGCTTTTCATGTTCACATTATGCATTTTGAAATGTCTGCAAAAACTTAGAAACTAGGAAGCTCATCAAAAGAATCAAGAATATGCATAGCAAGTCAGAAGTACCCTGTATCAGACTGGAGCTGTAAAGTGGATGCCCAGATGTAAGCTGTTAAGGAGAGCACAAGCATATGTGATACTTTCCTGCATATATACGATACTCTTCCAGTTGTCAGCTATTCTCAACCCTTGGACTTTCCCATCCAGACCTGGTTTCTATGTATGGAGTGATCCTTAGTGTGTGTTCTTCCATGAAACATTTGGTATTCACCCGAACCCTTACAGTTAATGCAGGCATATCAACATTTTATATATTAAGGATTTTCTTAATAGGATTAGTATTTTGGTATCTCGAGATAATATCCCGTGTCTGGTGTTCTTAAGCACACAAGGAATACGAGGTTATCCGTGGAACTGAAGGAGCCCTTGGAACAGATAGGAAAATGCAGCTTAGTTGTTTAGTTATTTTAGTGCTAGGACAGATATCATCTCTTTAAAGTGGTTTAAGTGCATGACGGCTGAGGTGTTAAGACATTGATTTAAAGAAAATGCTGTAGTTATATCCCTACAAAAGTTATGCAGACAAGTTCTAGTTTGAAATGCCTTTATTTGGCATCTTTCAAAGTCAACAAAATCATATTTGTCTGTGAGACTTCTGTGTGATGATCTCTGTGTGATGATCTCTGTGACAGACGTCTGATCACTTCCTGTTTATGGCTGTGATAATTTCAGGTGTGATTTACCTTTTTTTGCCTGTACAATCAGCTATTCTGACTTCTGAGACTGGTGTGGGGTTTTTGCTTTGCAGAACGGAGTGTGGCAAGGCAAGTTCTGCTGTGTTTACAGGTGCTGTGCCAGGAGTCCTGTACAGCCAGTTTATGCAAAATTATTTACAGTTACTTGCTTGCAGTTCTCATTACTTCTGTGGATTTTTCCTCCCTTCCCCACCTTCTTTGTGAATTAAATTAAGATTTGGATCTTTCAAACTTTACAGCAAAGGAATAATCTAATTATTTTTATAGTGCCTCATTTGAAAAGAATGCAGCAATTCTTAAAGAAAATAGGAGTTATTATTAAATCCTTTTGCTGGTTTAAAGTGAGCTGTTTGTCTTGCTTTTAAAGGCTGCCAGGCATGCAGGCATAGGGTACCTGGTCCCAGAATTCAGGCTGGGCTTATGAAAAGGATTCCACCACCTTTTCTGTATTATTCATTAATATGGTGAACCAGTGAGAGCACCATTCAGCTGGTGAAAAGAAGTTTTATTCCAAGCTGAAAGGAAAAGACTTAGGCTTTCATTTCTTTCCATGATAATGCTCATACAACTTTATTGGAAAACACCCTCATCCCCCACCCCCAATCCTTCAGCTTTCCCATATAAACTGTTCAGCTTTCCATGATCATACAGTAGAAAATCAGCTATATGGTGGCTCAGTTCACAGAATCAACTAGGTTGGAAAGGACCTTGAAGATCATCTAGTCCAACCATTAACCTAGCACTGACAGTTCCCAGCTACACCATGTCCTTAAGCGCTAAGTTGACCCTACTCTTGTAAGTTGTTTGCCAGTTCTGGCATAACTCAAAATGAGATGTTGACTGTGTTTTGAAACATGGTGCATTTGTCCTCTTTTGACCTTAAATAAAAAGGAAGATAGAGGAGGGGTACATTATGTAGGATTAATTTTTTGATCATATTTCCCTTAAGCTAACAGAACTGGAAGTTACCTGTTTCCAAGAGAATGCGGTTGGTCCTTTCAGTACTTTTTTCTCCTCTATATTGTCTTTAACCTAATGATAACCACCAGTCGTGGAAGAGATGTAATTGCTTTTATTTGTATTTGAATTTAAGTGTCTAATAAACTTAAGTTCAGGTTTCTATTTTCCAAGCTTTGGTGGAGCTCAGACAAGAATGCAGAGCCTGAGCATGCGTTTCTAGATCTGGAGTTCTGCCTTACTCCTTGTTAGGGGTTATCCTGCAGGGATAAGGGGTGTGTGTGTGTGTGTATATATATATATATATATATATATATATATATATATATAT